AAAAACAGCAATAATTCCATACAGGCAGATGTTATTACCCCACCTGGTTTCTGCAGCCGAATTGCCCAGGTGCGTAAGCTAATATTAGTTAATTTGTAAGTCGCTCTGGATAAGAGCGTCTGCTAAATGATGTAAATGTAAATGTAAATATGCTCTCCATACCTATGCATCCCTACTTCCTGGTCACCTGTGCGCCAATATTTACAGTACGAGTCAAAAGTTTGGACACACCTACTCATTCAAGGGGTTTTCTTTATTTTTACTATTTTCTACATTGTAGAATAATAGTGAAGACATCAAAACTATGAAATAACACATATGGAATCATGTAGTAACCAAAATATATGTTATATTTGAGATTCTTCAAATAGCCACCCTTTGCCTTGATGATGGCTTTGCACACTCTTGGCATTCTCTCAACCAGCTTCACCTGGAATGCTTTTCCAACAGTCTTGAAGGACTGCTTAGCACTTGTTGGCTGCTTTTCCTTCCCTCTGCCGTCCGACTCATCCCAAACCATCTCAATTGGGTTGAGGTCGGGGGATTGTGGAGGCCAGGTAATCTGATGTAGTACTTCATCACTCTCCTTCTTGGTAAAATAGCCCTTACACAGCCTGGAGGTGTGTTGGGTCATTGTCCTGTTGAAAAACAAATGATAGTCCCACTAAGCCCACACCAGATGGGATGGCGTATCACTGCAGAATGCTGTGGTAGCCACACTGGTTAAGTGTGCCTTATATTCTAAATAAATCACTGACAGTGTCACCAGCAAAGCACCCCCACACCATAACACCTCCTCTTCCATGACTTGAACTCTGTGAAGCATTTAATTGGGCTGCAATTTCTGAGGCTGGTAACTCTAATGAACTTATCCTCTGCAGCAGAGGTAACTCTGGGTCTTCCATTCCTGTGGTGGTCCTCATGAGAGCCAGTTTCATCCTAGCGCTTGATGGTTTTTGCGACTGCACTTGAAGAAACTTTCAAAGTTCTTGACATTTTCCGTATTGACTGGCCTTCATGTCTTAAAGTAATGATGTACTATCGTTTCTCTTTGCTTATTTGAGCTGTTCTTGCCATAATATGGACTTGGTCTTTTACCAAATAGGGCTATCTTCTGTATGCCCCCCTCCCCCCTCCACACCTTGTCACAACACAACTGATTAGCTGAAACACGTATATATATATATAGAGTGATTATAAAGTGCCACTTCTGGATTATAAAGTCCCTCTTCTCCATTGTGCACAGAAAAGGCTTGTGATTATAAAAATTCCTTCCAGGAAGAAAATTCCCAGATTCCTGTCACATTCCATAAAGGAGAAGGAGCCACATGCTTGTAGTGAGGCCAGTCTTTTAGAGAGGAGGCCTAAGGTGTATTCATTAGTCAGATTCTGTTGCAAAATGTTTTTGTCTGTTGCTAAACGTTTTGCAACAGAAACCATTTACCGTTTACTCTAGGAACCAAACGAAAGCAAATAGAACCAAACGGGAAGGGACCTAACTGAATTTGTCCAATAGAAACTCTAGTTTTCATTGCAAAACGTTTTCAGTTTAGAGTAAACGATTTCCGTTGCAGAAAAACGAAATGTTTTTAAAACGGAATCCAACCAATGAATATACCCCTGCTTTTTTTTCCAGAATCAGAAATGAGCTGTAGCTCAATGTGTACTGTTTGGTAGGCAGAGAAGGAGCAAGACCGAAATCAAAATTTAACAGAGCTACCGTTTCATGCCTTTTTAGGCATGTTAAAAAATATATTAAGCCCCCCCCCCCCACCCAACAGACACACACACACACACACACACGCACGTGTCATTAAATAGCTTACTTTGTGAGGCAATTCATGACACGTTTATGTACATGTGTTCATGGTCGACAGGTGATGTTAACCCAGATATTTCACTTCTGAATCTGACTAATGAATACACCCTAACGCTTGTCCATATATGTATATATTCTTAATTCATTCCTTACTTAGATTTGTGTGTATTGGGTATATGTTGTGAAATTGTTAGATATTACTTGTTAGATATTACTGCACTGTTGAAGCTAGAAGCACAAGCATTTCGCTACACCCGCAATAACATCTGCTAAACACGTGTATGTGACCAATCAAATGTGAATTGATTTGATTTATAATAAGTCAAAACAAGTCAATTTAAAATAAGTCAATTTCAAAGGCTGTTAGAGAGAGTTTGTTGTTTTTGGGGGAGGCTTTCTTTGATTTGTTTATAGCCCAAGAGCTGACTTTGGAGTTTAACAATGGGAGGTCCCCCTCACTCTGACGCTGAAGGCCAGTGGGCCTGATCCAAAAAGCATATTTCCTAGAGAGCTTCACTTCCTTGCCAAGAATATCAAATCAAATCAAATCAAATCAAATTTTATTGGTCACATGCGCCGAATACAACAGGTGCAGACATTACAGTGAAATGCTTACTTACAGCCCTTAACCAACAGTGCATTTATTTTAAACAAAAAAGTAAGAATAAAACAACAACAAAAAAAGTGTTGAGAAAAAAAGAGCAGAAGTAAAAAATAAAGTGACAGTAGGGAGGCTATATATACAATAGAATAAAGTGACAGTAGGGAGGCTATATATACAGGGGGGTACCGTTGCATAGTCAATGTGCGGGGGCACCGGCTAGTTGAGGTAGTTGAGGTAATATGTACATGTGGGTAGAGTTAAAGTGACTATGCATAAATACTTAACAGAGTAGCAGCAGCGTAAAAAGGATGGGGTGGGGGGGCAGTGCAAATAGTCCGGGTAGCCATGATTAGCTGTTCAGGAGTCTTATGGCTTGGGGGTAGAAGCTGTTGAGAAGTCTTTTGGACCTAGACTTGGCACTCCGGTACCGCTTGCCGTGCGGTAGCAGAGAGAACAGTCTATGACTAGGGTGGCTGGAGTCTTTGACAATTTTGAGGGCCTACCTCTGACACCGCCTGGTATAGAGGTCCTGGATGGCAGGGAGCTTTGCCCCAGTGATGTACTGGGCCGTACGCACTACCCTCTGTAGTGCCTTGCGGTCAGAGGCCAAGCAGTTGCCATACCAGGCGGTGATGCAACCAGTCAGGATGCTCTCGATGGTGCAGCTGTAGAATTTTTTGAGGATCTGAGGACCCATGCCAAATCTTTTTAGTCTCCTGAGGGGGAATAGGCTTTGTCGTGCCCTCTTCACGACTGTCTTGGTGTGTTTGGACCATGATAGTTCGTTGGTGATGTGGACACCAAGGAACTTGAAGCTCTCAACCTGTTCCACTACAGCCCCGTCGATGAGAATGGGGGCGTGCTCAGTCCTCTTTTTTTTCCTGTAGTCCACAATCATCTCCTTTGTCTTGGTCACGTTGAGGGAGAGGTTGTTGTCCTGGCACCACACGGCCAGATCTCTGACCTCCTCCCTATAGGCTGTCTCATCGTTGTCGGTGATCAGGCCTACCACTGTTGTGTCGTCGGCAAACGACATATCATTGTGTTTATTGTTCATTCTTATCAATGCACAGCCTGTCCAGAAACAACATACAGAGACTTAAAAATTCAGCACCATGCGCTTGATCTTTTAAGCAGAAAGGTGTGCTTGTGTGTGCATGCATGAGTGTGTGTGTGCATGTGTGTGCATGTTTGTGTATGGATTTACGTGTGTGAGAGAGAGAAACAAAGAAAGAATGAGAGAGTGTGTGTGTATCCCATTCAAACCATATCCAAGGATGCTGACTAACAGATGCAGTTGCAATGATGGATGTGATAATGATGTTTGCTCATGCAATGATAATGAGGGGATGATGTTTCAGCTTCAGCGTAGTAGACCATTGGGAGAATTATCCACACATCCAAGAAAGTCATAAACATATTGAAGGTTATGGGCATGCTGACAAATTACTATTCACATGCATTTAGGTCAGGTGTTTATTCGGTGAGGTTTCAGATGAAAACAATCTACCAAAGTAAAAAAATTTAATATAATAATATTATTATGTATTATATATTCTGTGGGTCTATGCAACACTACAACAGAGTGACAGGACAGGTGCATCTCACATACTAAATGTTTCCCAGGTGACTGTAGCTGTAGCATACCTGTTTTTCCAGCATTATCATCCTCTCAGATACATGACATTAAAATCGCTTCTTGTGCATGTTCAGAATATATTATCTTCTCTTCTGCACCAGCATCCAGCATTTTGATAACGATATTATCCACAGTGAAGCTCGTGCATCAAATCAGCGTGTATGTTTATTCTTGTGGAAATGTCCAGTGAGTCCAGCACCACCTTGAGATTATATGTACTGTAGTAGGATACTGTACTAGTCTATTCAGCTATTAGTCTAAACTCCACAATACATTGCAGCATTCGAAGTGCATTTAATTTCTAGGTCATCCTCTATCTTCATTCTCAAGCCTTATGCCCTCCTGCAACCATGGGAAACATGCAATGCGCATTGGTCTGATTTGAACAATTTCATGAGATTTCTTTATTTGCTATTGTTAATTTAACCCCCCAAAATAGTAATACAAATTGCTGATCATATAATTCCTGATCCTATCCTTTTGCTTTGGTGTACATAGCATCACGCAGTGAATTATTCTGTCCACTTATGCTCAAATAAACTTTTTGAGCAAATTATTTACAGCTGTGCACTGAGACTCGCAAAAAATAATAACTGTCCTACCTATGTCAAATATATATTTACTGCCTTCTGTCAGGCTCGTAGGTATCAGCCAGACGCGGACATATTTTTTTACAGTATGCCCGACCTAAAGCGTCTAAAAACATTGATGCTCTTGAACACCCCACCAAATCGCAAAGCGAAAGTCCAGCGTTGATCCAATCCTGCGATGTTCTTAAACAAGTTCCTACTCACAGCATCGTGGGAGTTATACTCCAGTCTAGTAAGTGGCGGTAATGCAACATTTATTGGATGCCAACCGCCGTTAAACCTCATCGAAGAAGAAGAAGAAGAAGAAGAAGAAGAAGAACGCATTGTGGGAATTTATGTAAAATCAAGATGGCAGCCGCCTGTGCGAGAACTATCGGTAAGGTCGGCTGGAACATTTTGGAGTCTCCAGCATGTCGTGCTGGGAATATTGCCTCCCTGGTTCCAAGGGTCTCGCTGCATGGATCGAGCAGGGCATACGGTACGGGCGTTGCAGGATTCCGATCCAAATTGCTCTTCACCCCTCTGCGCGTTGGCCGGGTCCTGGGGTGTGCGTACCTGGTTGGAGGGGGACTTGGCTTGTATCAAACAATACAGTTATCTGTCCAACATCACCTTGCTGAAGAAGAAGGCAAGGTAATGGGCAATAATATTAGCTATGAAAAGTATTTTCATTAATTGCCATGTAGTTTACCTTAAGCAAAGGATGTCAGGTGGATTTTTGTCAGCTGACAACCTGTCTGTGGTTTGCCTAATAAATCAGACCGTGTACACAATGGAAAGCATCGCCACATTCGGGACTACTGGCTGGTGTGCTTTTGTCATGTAGTTTGCACAATGTTACATCCAGGTTCAACTAAATGTTCCATTGTAAATGTATATACAGTTAATGAAATTGACTTTTTCCAACTTATATGTCTTCCACAGGCTTATTCTGATGGTGACCTGAAATTGACACTGTACCAGTACAAGACCTGCCCATTCTGCAGTAAAGTGCGAGCTTTTCTGGACTACCATCGGCTTCCATATGAGATTGTGGAGGTCAATCCCGTCATGAGGAAGGAAATCAAGTGGTCAATTTACAGAAAAGTGCCAATCCTAATGGTGAACGATGATGTGGTAAGGGGGACAGAGTCACTCTGCATGGCTTGGTATTAGCTAGCAGATCCGACCCGCATGTTTACAGCTGCACTAGGGTCAGAAAGGCTTCCTGTGTAAATTAAGACACAGTGGAGCCTGCGTGAGATATATGGCTGGGAAAACGTACCTCATTCCAGGGATGAGAAATGCGTTCTCCGAATAGTCCCATTATCCTAACTGTTACAATGAGAAGATTGAAGACTGCTAGTTTTTCCGGAAAACGGTCCTTTCGTCCTCATGCTAGGTAGCAGAAGCCACAGCAGCCATTTTGAAATGGCAGTGTCAGCCAATCAGCTCCTTTGTTGTTCAACATGACATGCCATTCCATAATGGCTACTGCTAGTTAGCATGAGGACAAAAAACTAGCAGTCGTTCAATCTTCTCTGTGTAACAGTGGGGATAATGGGACAATTCGGAGTACATATCTCGCGCCGGCTCCGCAGTGTCTTAATCTACACAGGAAGCCTGTCTGACCCTAGTGCAGCTGTAAAAAGTGGGTCGGATCTGCTGGCTAGGTTTGGTATTAGTTACAGGCGTATGGGATGATGGAAAACTTGTTGTGTGATCGCTCTCTCCTTCTGTGCTCTTGACCTATCAGCAACTGAACGATTCCTCAGTAATAATCAGCGCTTTGAAGACACAGTTGATAAGCAAGTAAGTAGCTACCTCCCGAGAAATGTTCTTGTTGTTTTTTTACATAAAGTGGTCCTTGATCATGGTAACTATGCATTCTGAATTCTCTATCTCTTCCTGCAGGGAAACCATCTCAGAGATTCTGCGCTGTTACCCAGAGATGAAAGCTGTCAATGAGAAGGGGAAGGAGGTGACAGAGTTCAACAACAAGTACTGGGTAATGGTGAATGAAGCTGAAGGTCAGACGATGTACCCAGAGAAAGACTCCAGAAAGTAGGTGAACACCTTGGATGCCAAATTACTGCTGCCCATAATAATGACAAAATTCTTAGTGCATGGGTCACTAATGAAAATTCATGGATCTGTCCAAACCTCTCTAAAGACACTGTGCATCACTACTCTTTTTAGATTCTGTCAAGCGTCAGCTAGGCTTAAATGTCCCTTTCTCTTCCCCTTCAATCTGCTTCAGAGAGGAGATCAAATGGCGTAAGTGGGCAGATGATTGGCTGGTTCATCTGATCTCGCCCAATGTGTACCGGACCACTGGAGAGGCCCTGGCCTCCTTTGACTATATTGTCCGCGAGGGCAAGTTTGGCACTTATGAGGGCTTCTTTGCTAAGTATGTTGGAGCAGCTGCCATGTTTGTCATCTCAAAAAGACTGAAAAGTAGGTGGGTGACAAAATATTTTTTGTATGATTGTCTGCTATATAACCAGCCAATAATGTTTAGTGATGAGCTCTGTTTAAATTGAATGCCTCTATCCTGCAGACACAACTTGCAGGATGACGTGAGACAGGATCTGTACAAGGCAGTCAATGACTGGGTGGCGGCCATTGGCAAGAAGAAGTTCATGGGTGGAGACCAGCCAAATCTGGCTGACCTGGTAAGAGCATCACATCTGTCATGTGAAGTATTATCTTACACTTCTTGAACTTGTATTGTCTACTTTGTCTCAGATGCAGATTTCATGATGAGACTATTTGTTTATAATAGCCAAAGTGTTTTGTTGATTTATGTCCTTGACTCTCTTCTCCTCTCTGCAGGCAGTGTATGGGATCCTAAGAGTGATGGAGGGTCTTGAGGCCTGGGATGACATGATGGAGAACACCAAGGTGAAGAGCTGGTACAGATGCATGGAGAAAGCTACACAAAGCCACGAGGACCACAACTGATCCTGCTCAAAACATTGACCAGCGCTAGGAGATCGGATTCAATAGCACTTCCAGCCCTCAGATTAAATCTGTAGATGTCATGAGATGGGAAAAGTGATTGCATCAAGGAAAGGTGGAAAAATGCAATAAAAAAATTTCCTAAGGACCTTGTCCACCTGCTGCAATTCACAGAAAGCTACTTCCAACCTTGATTTATTTTCTGTGAAAATTTACATTTACATTTACATTTTAGTCATTTAGCAGACGCTCTTATCCAGAGCGACTTACAGTTAGTGAATACATTTTTTTTTTTTTTTATACTGGCCCCCCGTGGGAATCGAACCCACAACCCTGGCGTTGCAAACGCCATTCTCTATCAACTGAGCTACATCCCTGCCGGCCATTCCCTCCCCTACCCTGGACGACGCTGGGCCAATTGTGCGCCGCCCATGAGTCTCCCGGTCGCGGCCGGCTGCGACAGAGCCTGGATTCGAACCAGGATCTCTAGTGGCACAATTAGCACTGCGATGCAGTGCCTTAGACCACTGCGCCACTCAGTGATTTGTTGATTTGCTTTAATAAACTGGCAGCAGTTAGCCGTTAGATCCTTGGTTGCTGTGGGTTTCTGTCTACCTGTGCCCCCCAGTGTCAAAGCTGCAGAGACTTGTACAATGTCTATGACATGGGTAAAACCAAATTGGCAGCTTTAAATTTACATTGCATCTGAGTGCAAAACATTTCCTCCACGCAGTCTTAGCATTTTGGGTTCAATTTTTTGTCCTGTTTTAATTTCCATTTACTCAAAGGTTGAAATAATTGAACAAGCTAACACGACTGTTTGAATAGTTAACGTTACATCAGAATCAATATACTGTTCCCTCTTTCCCAGTGCTTTCCCTCTGGGTTTGACCTTCCATAACAGTTCTCAAAGTAGGAAATACTCACTTGTAATGCTTTGGAAAGTATAGATTCAAACTTATTTTGGCTACCTGTTTCATGATTCTCTTTTTAACCTGTTAACTTCACGACTGCTTATTCTACCTCAGATGAGGGTTCCAGTCATAACCAGATTATTTACATTATGTCGGCTCAAATAAATTATTCTCAATTATGCAGGATATAGCTGGGTGTTTGTGTGAAATGGGTCTAATAATTTGGGAGCTTCCATTGGACAAACTGGTTGAAATTGTTATGCATAAACTCCTGACCAATTTCTAAATGAAATACTATGGGTATTAAAAACCAGCCCAATGATGTGCATACATGTAAAAAGGTTCAATAAAAATAAGTAAAAAATGTTTCATGTTTTAATTCAGGAACAACGTACATTGTTATATTTTGCACCACATGAAGTATTACATTCATTTTCCAGGGAAGAGATACAGCTCTTACATTTCATATTTTACACCTGTATTATCTTCATTTCACTCTAAGACTACATTTAGACAGGTAGCCCAATTCTGATCTTTCTTTCACTAATTGATCTTCTGACCAATCAGATCAGCTCTGATGTGATTGGTCAAAATACCAATTAGTGGAAAAAAATATCAATTGGGCTGCCTGTGTGAACGCAGCCTTATACCGGTTTGGTACAACCTTAACTGCAGCTCAGCACCAACTGAGTGGTAAATGGAAACCTTAAATCCTCACACTATAAAAACAGAAATAGCTAATTACATGTCAATGTACAAAATATAAACATGTTGGTGGATTACATTCCATTATCTATGACAACACTGACAATATGGCTTGAAAAGTGGATGTCATGATTGAGTAATCAGATCTAAAAGCAATCAGCAAAAAATAAATACAAAGAGAGAACAGAAAGTAATCCCTCATAGGTTAAAATCTACAAGTAATGCCATATGAATTTGGTGAACCAAAATAATCACATTGCAGTGAATGAGAAAAAACAACAACAACTGTACAGCAAGAAGCCACATAACTACCTTAATAGTATAATGTTCTCAACAAGGGTAAGGGGGAAAAAGAACAATGGATATGACTATGCAGTAGGATTAGCACGAAGATTGGATAAAATAGTTAATGTTGCAGTCACGGTACAGGCCAGTTATAATTTGGTTTTAGCAAACTATACTAAGTCTACATACTATTAAGCAAATTGATCAGGATATAGCGCATCATTGCAAACATAAACATAACTTCCACATCTACACAGAGCTTCTCTACCTAGTGCATTCTATGAGTTGTAGACTGGGGTGATGCAGCCTTGAATACAACTGAGGCATCATTTTTAATGTCCAACGAACCTTCTTTCCCATCCTTCCGTGCCCCACTCAGGATCTCCAGAAGTGGGAGATCAGCTGGCCTTTGGGGGGAGGGATCTGTCTGCTTCTTAATGAACTCTTGATAGGGAGACAAAAAGAAAACACAGGATCACTTTGACCAATTTTAAGAGTTAAGTAGGTTTTAAAGACAGTGCATCAGTGTCAGTTCAGAAATGGTGCATACAATACTGTGCTATACTGGGCTGTGCAGCTTGGCCTTGCAGCACACTCACCTCCAGGAACTGCTTGAGCCTTGTGACTGAGCCCGCCTGGCCTTGGCTGGTGACAGCTTCAATCCTGAGAGAGGAGAAATGACAACATGAGGTCTGTGCATTGAAAGAGTGTCCAAGGTAAAGTGTACCACAAGGTTAGACCAGACTATTTAGTTTTGATGTAAAACTGAACTGCTGAGAGTGGTGATTGTACCTTGGCAAGTAATCCTCTTGGATGAGCAGAATGAGCTTCCAAAACTGAACCTGATACTGCTTCATCAGGGCGTTGCCACAGACCTAAGGGAAGACCGAGAACAGGGGACATCAGTGACCTGCATAAAATGTCTAGTCTTGAGACCGTCTTTGGAGACAGGTGTCAGAGTCATGACTCATCACCTCTAGGAAGTCAAAAAGGAGTGTTGCCGTGACGTCTGCCAGGGGCTCCATGTTCAGCATCTGAGCCAGCCAGCGCCAGCCGTTGTTCAGCCCATGTGGGTCAGGCTGGAGGGGTGGACACAAATAATGATAATAATAAGGTCAGCCTACTAACATTATACAAGGGGGGGGGCAGTGAAGTGTTTTGACATAGTGATATTAGCATTCGTTATGTAAACAATGTAAGATTGTCTATACCCCCTGCTTGGAGACATAAGGCCATCTGAGCTGTATAATAGCAGCATAGAGGCGGATCATTCCTGACATCCTCTTCAAAAAGCTGTCCTGAGCCTCCACCCCTCCATCTTCCACACGGTAGCCTAAGATTCTGGTGGGACACAGAACAACACATCAGCCAGAGCAACTGACCTCATTTGCTTAGATTGTGGAAGCAACACACTTGAAATGCAGCATAGGTCTTTTTAACCCAAAGTCATGGAATTACTTAAATTTCTGTTTCATTACAGTTAGTTCCAGATGCATTGCAAAACAGTGTGATGCCTCACTGACTTCTGATATTCCTCTACAGATGTGCCATCCTTCATAGGTGGGTAGTGGGGCACTGCGTAGGGGCACTTCTTGTGAAGGTGGGCGAGGATGAGGTCTCCGACTTTGGGGTGAAGCTCCCACACCCCGGAGGCCACCACAGCGATGGGGAAGGCTGCCTCGTGGTGGGATGCCACCTCTTCCTCTCCTTGTTTCTAGAGAAACACATTGACAAGGAAGCATTTTCTAGAGCTCTATGAAAACAAGACACTACACTATTTTATTCGTATGACTATGGAAGTATAAAACATAGCATTAAACATTAGGCACTGTATGGAAGACATATAGAATTGTAAAGAGACAAAGACCAATAGTCCTGTGTCTCCAGCAGTTCAAGCCAAGGTCATGTGAACTCACCACAAACTTCTCGGCCAGTTTGTAGCTGACAAAGTCCAGGCCGTTGGGATGCTGGGAGGTGGAGACAGACTTCCCTCCGGATACCACTGATCTCCCAGACAAAAGCTTGTCAATCTTGTCAAATATTTCCCTGAGCTTGGAACCTGGGTATTTGACAAACATGGCCCAGACAATTTCAATCGCACAATTATTATAGCAATGTTCACCTTCTTTCACTTTACCATAGATAGAATGAGTGTCATTATAAGCCTCGGAGCCCTCTCCATAACCCAGACGCACCTGAGATACTGGAGATCTGGCTGACAGGGATGGTGGCTGCCTTCTGGAGCTCCATTCTTAGTTTCTTTGTCTGAAAAACAAATAAAAAAAGGTAATAGTAATGTTGCCATTCATTTGTAATTGAGCTTTTAATGTGAAGGTGTATCATAATGTGGGAACTGCAGTTTCCTATAATGGCACAGTTTATTTCTCACCCATGCAGTTTCAACCAACCTGGATATCCTTAGTGTTGTTCAAGCCTTCAAAAGACTGTGCACACTGGTTAGCGGAATCCTGCAGCTCCTGGTACCACTTCAGAGTGCTCTGCTCAGCTTTAGTCTGCAGGCCTTTGGAAAGAACAGAGTGCTTCCTCATTCGTACATACCATATGAATCCAAACAAACACATTCCTTTTATCCATCCATTTATCCTCCCTCTCATTACCCTTTTTCCGTGCCTTCTCTTTGGCTGACAGAGCTGCACTCTTCTTCTGCTCTTCCTGCTGGGCCTGCAGCACTGCCAACTTCCTGCGCTCCTCTTCCTCCTCCTGCGCCTTCTTCCTCTTCTCCTGGGCCTGGGCAGCCGCCTCCTGCATCACCCGGATCAGTGACCTCATCTCATGCAGTGCCCGCTCTGCCACCGTCATGTCTTCCACACTGGGGAACTCCCCCTACGCAAACACAAACAAACATAACCACTTACCCATATTGACCAGAGCAAGGACATAAACAGGATAACAACAAAATAGATGTTATTCCCTGCTCCCCCATAGCATGGGTCTACTACGAAAGACACATGCAACCATAGATGAAGGATAAAGAGAATCACACTGACCTCTGCTGTCGTGCGCACCACCTCTGACACCTGGGAGCATAGCTGGTTGGCGCGGGTGCTATAGGAAGTGAGATCAGGGGAGGGGCCTGACTGGGTGGGTGTGGCCGGCTCCAGGAGCTGATTGAGTTGAAGTATCTCTTCCTGGATGGCGTTGAGAGCACGCAGTCTCTCCCTACCCTCCACCTGTCTCTGCCTCTCAAATTCTGCCTCCCGCAAGCGCTGTTGCTCCGCCTCCCTCAGGCGCAGGTTCAGGATCTGTGAGGGGTGGAGGAGATTTTTCAACCTGTATCTGAAAACGACTGTTTTGCATTTTGCTTTCTGAAGTTCCAGTGGTTAAACTTTCAATACCTTTATTCTGTTTTTGTGCTCTTCTTTCAACTTTTCTTGGCGCCCAATGCTTTCTTGTGTTCTTTTAAACAAGAGAAAGACAAGCAGTAAATTAAGATTCTTGACATGTAACACATTTTCAATCCTGTCACAGGGACAGCAGCATATTGGTGGGTGAAAAGGAGACGATTATGCTTTAGAGATAAAACAAGCACGGCGTACTCTCTGTCCATCATGTCCCTCATACTCTGGTACTCCTGTCTCTGCTTCAGCTCCATGAACTCCTCAAAGCGTTTGAGCTGCTCTGACTCCCGGCTCGCCACTGAGGCCACCAGCTTCTCCTGCAGCTCCTGCCTTAGACTCAGCTCCATCTGCACCAGGACATTCAAGGGTCTAGATTAGGTATGAAATGCTAGCTTAACATAATGCCATGGTTCTCACATATATAGTCAACAGTGTTGGAGTCAAAATGTAACAGTGACATGTTGATGCATGAACAAGATAACTAAGAAAAAAAATGAAAAGAAGCCTTTGCAACCTTGGCCTTGGCACGATGTTTCTCCTCACAAATGCGTATACATCCTGCCATTTGAGTTGCCCTGGGAGACAGCAAGGAGATGGTGGGGGGAAGAATGGGGTTGGAGACTGGACTGACATCATTGCTGGCATCTGTGGCACTGTCCTCATCACCAACAATCTGCTGCGGATCGATATGAAGACAAATGTGATAGGTTCATAAAAATGTACAAAAATACAGTGTGCAGAGGGAGTTATAATATGGGATAAACGGAGTGGGAGAGAGACTTGCCTGCTCCTCGTCTTTCTTCGACCTGGGGACCAGTAGTGGAGAAGAGAGGGGAGTGGGCTGAGCATTGGCTGAAGGGAAGGGGCTGGTTGAGGAGCTTGTGGAGACTGGGGCCTCCTCGGACAGGCCTGGGCTTGGGTCACGGGAAGCAGAGCCCAAAGAGCAGGTCTTCTGAAGGGTTCGAGGGCTCATGTTAAGCCTCTTCAGGATGAGCCCAGAGAGTGGGGACAAGCTAGGAGCTTCATTACAACCTGACAAAATATCCTGCAGGGGACATGAGAAAGGATCATACCGGTAACGTTAGGCTACATCACATAACTAATAAAATGAAATGCTTATTTAAAATGTGTGTCCAATGTTGCCTAGGATACTGAAATCGTAGACATACCATGAGCCAGCTAGCTAGCAGGATAATAATTATGTTGGTCGTGTTGTAACTTTGTTTTTGTCAGTTAGCGAATACACAACATGCGATACAACTTTGAACCATTGAGCTATATATTTGAAGTCGTAAGCTAGCATGCTAGCGGTGACGTTCATTACCTCCCCCTTTTCGAGCCAGTCTGGGTTGTATTTCAGTCTTCCCTTTGTTGAGTTTTTTAAGGCCTCTAATGTATCCCATCGTAAACTTTCAACAGGCATTTTGGCGTGTAAATAAACACACAACAAACACTTTTGAGAGACGGGTGATTATTAGGCTAACTTTAGCTAGCTGCTGCTTGCGGCATAAGTGCCACTGAAAGTCAAACTCCGACGTGGTCAATTTCCGGCTCTGATACATCTATGGTTCCGAGTCAAGGCTGTTTATCCTCAAAGCTACTTTGCCCTCATAATGGGTCAATTCATAACGTATTGTGAACAATGTTAATCTAAATACTGCGGGTAGAAGCTTGACAACTATCTTGACTTTTTCCTTCATTTTCTGAGTTTGTGAATGCGTGAAACACACCAGACTGTCCATTTTCATTTTAAGCTTTTGTTATTGTTTTGTAAAACAGTACAGTAAATTTCAACTGAATATAAAAAAGAGATCCTTGGTACAACTCATACAATATAATGCTAAGAATATTCAATCAGATTGGTGAGTGTGTGTGTAGAGAGCTTGATAGCACAGAATCACCAAACACAATACTATATGAAGCTTTGAGAAACTGAACATAATTCTGCAGGCTGCGGTTTGTAGAGTCAGATTGTTCCAGTCTCTCCTTCAGGTTCCTCAACTGATTCCGGAATCATCTCTCCATCTGCAAAGGAAGAAACACAGACTTCCATATCAGTTCAGTTTGACAAAGTTATCATAGTTGTATCATTCCTTATTATGGTGATTCAGATCCTATCTGCAAGTTTGCCTCCTCCAGTTTCCTAAGAGAGGGAAGGAACAGTCAAGACATTGATCAGCAGAAACATACAGAATGTTTTGTGGATCATTTCCCATAGGGACACCAAAGTTTTTCCACATCTCCTTCAGGTATTGATATGACTTACCTCTCTATACTTTCCATCTTATGCTTTAGAATTGTGTTCCCCTCCAGCAGAAGCACATTTTTCTCTTGAAAGGTTTCCACCAGACAGCCCTGCTGTTCCACCTACAGAGACAGACACACACACACTTTTAATTGAAGCACAGATATGATTTTCTTCTGTAAAACTGTCCATTTACAGTATGTGTTCATACCTTGTGTCTGAGTTCAGTGGGGGTGTTGTGTTGCTCAGTGTTTCTCCTCTCCTGAGTGTGCGTCTCTTCCTGGGCCTCTCTCAGCTGTTCCTCAGAACGCTTCAGCCTCTCAGGCAGAGGCTCCAGCTCCTTCAGCCACCCAGCAGCTGCCTCCTGACCTGCACAATATCGCTCTCCAGGTCAGCCTTCATCTCTTGTGCATCTTTCTCAGAGATCTCCAGCTTTAAGCAGTACTCCTCTGACTCTAAGCGGGCCCTCTGAACCTGCAGCACAATTGTCACATATCAATTCAAAATCTATGCTACAGCCTGGATAGCATGCAGCATTATAGCTGGATTATAACACCTTGATTGAAGTACAGCCTACACTCGGATAGGCTGATCAACTGTACCTTGCTCTTATAGTTTTCCACCTGGCTCTCTAGCTTCTTGACTGAACTCTTCAGCTGCTGGGCTTCAGACTGGGACTGCGTCAGGTTCACCTCTGCAGCAGACAGGGGTGGTCTCAAAAAGAAGATACACAAATAACTAAACAACTAACCTGACATTCAAATTTACAGAATGTTTTGTCATCTTCAGTCCTTATCAAGGTTTGATATTCTATAGTTTATTACACTTGATGACTGAAAGTGAAGAAAAAATGATGTTTCCCTTCAGTCTCTGGTTCACTAGTTTGTTGACAGAGTTGTCAGAGGTGAGGCGGTGCAGCCGGTCCAGGAGCCCCTCCGTCTCAGCACGGCCTTTCTCCTCCACAGTGTGGATCTGTGCAGTCATCTCAGTCACCTGGCTGCACAGACAGACAGCAAAGCACATAATGCAAAATACACTTATTTCAAGGTTTTGGACAACTTCTTTTTACAAGGTCATTTGCCAAAGACAAACCATTATGAATCATTCATATGAAACAGGTCTTGAATACCTCATGGTAGTCACAATTACTCACTTCTTGAGAACAGTGATTTCCACTTCAAGCTGCCTCTTTGGAGTGGCGGGTACACCAGCTCTCAGCTGAAGAAAGGGCCTCTGCCAACTTAAGTCTCCTGAATGATGGCACACAAATACATTGGGCAGTGTGACACTTGGACCACTTGGTAATGTATCTACATGTGTGTTCCTCCCATATAATATAATTCACAGGATCACACACAACCACCTTGTTGCCATCCAAACACCACATGTCAACCCGTGAGAGCAGCCTGAGGACCTGTGAGTGTCAGACCTTCTCCAGCAGCTTTGCAGCGAGCTGTCTGGCTGAATCCTAACTGTGCTCTGCTCTCTGCCTCTGGGTCTGGTTGGCCTGCTTCAGACTCTCTTTGTCCTCTTCACTCTGCTGCTTCAGATCCTCCAGCTGCTCCAGCAGGGCCTGTATCTCCTCCTGCTGCTGCTCCTGGGTCTGCTCCATCTCCTGTTCCACACAGGGAAGGGAGATAAAAAGGGGGAGAAATGGAGAGAGACGATTTATTGTTGTGGTCAGATGTCCCGAGTACTTTAAGGTGGTATTGAATTATTAGGTGTTTATCTGAGTTGCAATGAAATATAGATCAAGGATAAAACAATAGTATACTCTACATACTCTATCAATTCTGTGGCCCGTAAACCTTGATACCCACTTTACTCCGGGCGGCCATTTTCAGTCTCTTTGCTGCGTAACTGAACCATAAGCAGGCTGTGGGTTGACTCCAGAACTTTAGAAAGCTCTCCAGTGGTCTTCACATTGTCCTGTATGGAGGATATGGAATGATGAGTAAAGACAAGCTGCTATCTGTGAGCACCTGGTAAGCTAAATAAAACAACTTTATCATGATCTCTCTCTGCATCAAATGCAAACGGCTGAGAATCTAGAGAACTAGAGACCATGATGTACCTTTTCAGAATCCAAATGCACTGCAAGCTGGGTGGCTTCCTTCTCTTTGTTGTTGAGTTTTGCAGTAAGATGCTGAAAGCCAGAAAAGCAGAAACAACATTCTAAATGTCATCTATGACCATGGATATGCACCACACAGAGTGAAAGGAAAATTTAGCAATATAAGGGAAATTTAACATGGTGATGGATACACACCATATTTTCTGCTTCTGTGTCTGCCAGTCTCCCCAGTAGGCCTTGCCTCTGCTCTGATGTCCACAATGATTCTGTCTATCAATTAATACAGTACAAGTCAAAAGTTTGGAAACACCTACTCATTCCAGGGTTTTTCTTTATTTTTACTATTTTCTACATTGTAGAATAATAGTGAAGACATCAAAACTATGAAATAACACATATGGAATCATGTAGTAACCAAAAAAGTGTTAAACAAATCAAAATATATTTTATATTTGAGATTCTTCAAGGTAGCCACCCTTTGCCTTGACAGCTTTGCACACTCTTAGCATTCTCTCAACCAGCTTCATGAGGAATGCTTTTCAACAGTCTTGAAGGAGTTCCCACATATGCTGAGCACTTGTTGGCTGCTTTTCCTTCACTCTGCGGTCCAACTCATCCCAAACCATCTCAATTGGGTTGAGGTCGGGTGATTGTGGAGGCCAGGTCATCTGATGCAGCACTCCATCACTGTCCTTCTTGGTCAAATAGCCCTTACACAGCCTGGAGGTGTGTTTTGGGTCATTGTCCTGTTGAAAAACAAATGATAGTCCCACTAAGCGCAAACCAGATGGGATGGCGTATCATTGCAGAATGCTGTGGTAGCCATGCTGGTTAAGTGTGCCTTGAATTCTAACTAAATCACCGACAGTGTCACCAGCAAAGCACCCCCACACCTTCACACCTCCTCCTCCATGCTTCACGGTGGGAACCACACATGCGGAGATCATCCGTTCACCTACTCTGCGTCTCACAAAGACACGGCGGTTGGAACCAAAAAGGACTGATTTTCACCGGTCTAATGTCCATTGCTCATGTTTCTTGGCCCAAGCAAGTCTCTTATTCTTATTGGTGTCCTTTAGTAGTGGTTTCTTTGCAGCAATTCGACCATGAAGACCTGATTCACGCAGTCTCCTCTGAACAGTTGATGTTGAGATGTGTCTGTTACTTGAACTCTGAAGCATGTATTTGGGCTGCAATTTCTGAGGCTGGTAACTCTAATGAACTTATCCTCTGCAGCAGAGGTAACTCTGGGCCTTCCTTTCCTGTGGCAGTCCTCATGAGAGCCAGTTTCATCATAGCGTTTGATGGTTTTTGCGACTGCACTTGAAGAAACTTTCAAAGTTCTTGAAATTTTCCGGATTGACTGACCTTCATGTCTTAAAGTAATAATGGACTGTCGTTTCTCTTTGCTTATTTGAGCTGTTCTTGACATAATATGGACTTGGTCTTTTACCAAATAGGGCTATCTTCTGTATACCACCCCTACCTTGTCACAACACAACTGATTGGCTCACACGCATTAAGAAGGAAAGAAATTCCACATATTAACTTAACAAGGCACACCTGTTAATTGAAATGCATTCCAGGTGACTACCTCATGAAGCTGGTTGAGAGAATGTCAAGAGTGTGCAAAGCTGTCATCAAGGCAAAGGGTGGCTACTTTGAAGAATCTCAAATATAAAATATATTTTGATTTGTTTAACACTTTTTTGGTTACTACATGATTCCATATGTGTTATTTCATAGTTTTGATGTCTTCACTATTATTCTACAATGTAGAAAATAGTAAAAATAAAGAAAAACCCTGGAATGAGTAGGTGTGTCCAAACTTTTGACTGGTACTGTAAATAAACACATTTTTAAAGAATGCTCAATATATGGGGCATTGAACAGTCAGCCTTGTGCAGACTCTGCCATGAGGAAACATAATCAATAGAACATATTTTCTGGTACAGTCCATCAGTGGCTCGCTTTTGGAGTTGTCCAGCAATGGTTGTTATGTAATAATATCAGGGTTCAGATGGACCTGCAAACTGCATTGTTAGGGGATCTGAAAAACCACGATCAGTCAATGGGAAATATCATTATACTCTTGGGTAAAGCATTTATTTTGAGGGCAATATCGGTAGACATTTTTACAAATAAGGAGGTTCAGGAACCCCAGTAAGACATCATAGTAAAATGGAGGGATGTATAGCAAAATGGCATTATACTGGGAAAGATGGGTTAATCTGTGGACATCGGGGGGTTGGAGTTAAGATCAGAATGAATGGTGGATTGGCTGCTGTGGGTGAAAATCCAGCACTTGAGGAAATTAGGAATATATGTATAACTATTTAACTACATGTAACGTAGATGTGACCGAAATAGCTGTAAGTAGCAGTAAAGGTATTGCTGTCAGTTAGTTTACTTCAATTAGGGTAGGGATGGTAGAGAATGGGAGGAAAAGTATAGAGAAAAGGGAAAAATAAATAAATAAGGGATTGGAAATGATGCAAACAATTAAACTGATAGAACCTACAATCTATCTGCAATGTTAAAGCTGATCTACCCCCACCCACCCACCCCACCCCACAACACACACATTGTTTTCTTCCAATCAATATATTAGAAAACAATTCTTATTGTCATTTTCAATTTTCCTTCAAAACCACTGTACTTGTCAATCTAAGCAAGTCCATGTATTGGGGAGAGTACCTCTTGTTCATGGCACTCCCTGAGGAGATCTCGGAGAGTGCAGCTAACCTTTTTCACACCACCCATAGCCTCATTCAGGGCTGTCAACTGTGTGGCCACTGCCACCCCATCAATCTCTGCTTCTACCAGCTTCCTCAGTAGCATGTCTCTTTCCCCATGTAGAGTCCCCGACTCAGCCTTGCATGAAATGGAAAGATTAAAACCAAGCTAGTGCTAAACTGCCTCACACATTTTTACATTGTCTTGTGAATGTCTTGTAAATGTATGCATGATGACTAAATGTGCTCATGTCATGATATTACTCCACACCTGTTGTGGCCAGTCTCCCACCGCTTCCTTTGGGAGTGTTGGAGGGAGATGTTCTCTCATTTTCCGAGGTCCAGGTCTTTGGTGGAATCCAGCAGCTCCTCCTCCTGCTCGTCGAAGACATGTTGGCATGCACTCAGATACTCAGACTGGTGCTCCTTCTTCCGCAGACTCATCTGATCATCAAAAGCAAACAGAAACACACCACACCCACACACATTGAGTTTATTTGTTTACTGGACACATTTATGCAACAAACAAGAGGGCACTGGATATTGCTGAATCCCAGTAAGATCTTTGCTCTGTATTGTAATGAAGCAGTAAGTTGTGATAGTGGGATAGGGTTTAAGTTGGGTAAGGGGCAAACATAGAATTGTACACACTATACATTATCAACTGACCCAACATCCATCATCAGTCTATCAATGTTTTTTCCATATTTGTTACGCTGGCCATGCATCCTCTGCTCTTGTTCATCCTCATGAGACAGGTCAGCCAACTGCTCCAGACAGTATGAAGGCCCCTGAGAGACATGAAAATCAACATTGGTAGTATATCTAATGATACCATGCATGATATATGTGGGAATAGTGAGCAATAATGTATGTTTATAAATGTGAAATGTAAGCAATGTCCATTGCACTGGATGAAAATGTATCTGTGAGGAGCAAATAATTTACTTGCAGGACCTCCCACTTGTATGTCATCCCGAGTAGATGTTCTTCCTTGGGCCAACACGCAGCTGCCCAATATCCCCCTTGATGTCTACCTCTTTGATTGGCAGTCATGGTTTAACTGTTATAGGCCCACTTTATTTCAAAGGTTGAATCAGTGTTTATCACTTCATTGACTAAACGTTAACTAACCTGTGGGGTCTTTGCAGTGCAGCTCTTCTGACACTTTTTCAGGTGTAACGTTACATGTACAGGTGTGGTCTCTGGCACGTAAACGTGCAATGCCACTGGTGGTGAAGCATCACGCGTTTTCATTCTTAACCAATTGCAGCACACGATAGAACAGAATTGGCACTAGTAGGCCTACTAGCTGCTAGAAAGTCATACCAGATAACCAGAGATAATCATACCACGACAAGAACAGTACCCGGCAGCATGTTCATGATCACTCCATGCATGGCCAGCAAGCTAAACCTCAACAGATGTTCTTAATTCATAACCGGATTATGAATAAAAACTGGTTTGGTAAAAGTGAGTGATTTGTTTACCTGCTAAATCTCTACCGACGGGATCGGGATCCGGTCATCCCTAAAGATATCGGTCTGTGATTGGAGAACATTCGTTGGACCCACGTTCTAATTTACGTTGCCAGTAGCAACGGGACGTCCTCTGCAAGACGTAATATTTCTGGAAAATATCAATCTCCTACCTGTAGACCGCGCCATGCGTTAACTGACTAATTTGACTGTCTGTAAACATTACGTGGTTTTCCCATTGGGTTTACCAGGCCATGAGGTGCTCAAACGAACCAAATTTGAGATATATATTTCGAATATTGTATGAATTGGCTGTAAACGTCCATTTATGACTACTCTCGTATTTGCTTAACTGTTTCGTCCGAAGTCGCTCGTTCCTGATCTGCATACATATGCAATGATACTAGTTAAGTCTTTCATAAGTGCGCGCTTCGAGTTGCAACATTTATAGCCAACAATGGCGAGCAGACAACCGTGGAACTTCGGCTGCAAACACTTATGTTGTGTTTCATTGTCTTTATGTGCAATAATGCTCGTCGAAGCCTGTGTTGGCGAGGGACTCGGTGACTTGTTCTGCAAGTCCAGTGGACACGAATTGGCTTTTGAGAAAGATGCTAACTTTATCCACTGTCGACCTGCGCCCTCTCATATAAATTAGTTATAGGGAAAAGAAGAGTGCGCGTCAGGGCTAATATTTTTTCAGTCATGACTTTCAGAAAGGCAGACGTTGTGAAGCACTGGCCGGAGGGGAGACATTTCATCTGGTATCCTGGACAGTAGCCACATGTCCGCGATGTCACATGCACCTTGGTGGGTTGGGAATTAAAATAGATTTTGGCATATGATTTTGATTGTTCTGTCTGTGGTCTCATCCATCAGACGCGTCTGGAAACCAAGTGGGGCTTTTCTAAATACATGGCACCAATGTCTACCTTATGCGGTTTGTTTTGTAATAGGTTCTTATTTCCAGGTTGGGCGTTTCAACCAATTGAACGGCCAAAGTATAAACAAAAAGTTATTGTGAGGAATCTGAGCAGACAGTTGGCCGTTGATCACTAATCGATTGCTACAAGAAAACTTTGCATCAACACTTCCTAGGACTCCAATCATTCAGAAGTTGACAACTCCTGCATTCAAAGCTACAAAAGGATACCTGGCTCTACCAATGAACTTTTGCATTTTATAATTAAAAAAAGTGGCACCAACACAGCATGTAGTATTTCTTGCGATTGTATAGAATTCTGAAATATAACAAACTGTCAATAACACTAATATACTGGTCCAGTACTGCAAGTACACAATTCTAGCCATAACCACCAGACATTTAACATCCATGTAGTTTGCTGGCTCTAGACCAATCACTACAATTTACTACTATGGTTGGTTAGAAGAGTCACACATTTGTGTACACATTAAGTTTTATTGTAACAAAACAACTTGTACACCTTTAAGTTTAAAACAGATGATTTTTTCCCCCAGCGGAAAATAAAATGGTGATTAGATGTAAATTCCATGAGATAACAGGTTGTTTTCCATGAAGCAGTGGAGGGCCCAAATTTACAAGCATTTTTTTTTTATTAAGTTTTGTTTTGTTTATTAAAAATGTAATTTCACATCTCATGGATGTCTGTAAAACAATACAATGGAAAACAAAATATAACATCGTAATGGTGTCAAAATGCCCACCCTCCCCAGCACCCTAAGATAACCCTTTACCCTACCCCAGCATTGACCCCAAACATTACAAGTGATGGGAATAAGCTGGTATTTTCTGTTTACTTTTAAACACATGGGGGGGGGAACAACATTATTTGTAGGGATCTACTTGCCAACTGAACAAAATTATAAAAACTATAAAGGGGTCCGCTAGCACTAGGTCACTGCACCATGGCGTTTGTTCATTTATCACAACCTTTAACAGCAAGAAAAAAGTATATATATAAATTGCTATTTAAATTCTACTCAATATGGCGTGCGGAATCTATTTTTTTGTACGTTTTTATTTTTCTTCAGATGAATTTGGGAATTGGGGTGGTACATACAATTCAATACAGGAATCTGCCATTGGTTTTAGATGAGACAAAGAAACTTAACATGGCACGGACAGGAGTGAGGCTTCAGAATGAGGAGATGAAGCACAAAATAAAAAATCTTGGGTGGATAACCAAATTGGGGTGGAAATAGGAAAGGGTATTGGTAGATTATGTCATTTTTCGGTTTAGTCATCTTCTCCTTCATCATCCTAAACAAAAGGAAGAAAAAAATCAGCACTATGCAAACAAATCTCACTATTCAATATAGCTCATTAATAAGAGGAAATTAAGCAATTATCTAGGGCATACCTCCCCATCATCTCCGTCATCCTCATCTTCCTCTCCATCATCTTCATCACCCTCCTCATCAATGTCCTCAAGACCTTCCTCATCGTCATCATCTTCACCTTCTGCCTCCTCATCATCCATGTCAGGAACCTGCCAATCAAATTAGCCAACGTTTTAACTATAAATTCTTCATCTACACAGGAGACTTAATCTCCTGGGTGACATTGACAGTAAATGAACTCAAAATAAAGCATCCAAAGAATGAATAATAAAGTTGCACAATGGCAAGTCCTATTCAAAGTTAAGACATTTGATAACAGGGAGTGGTGCTAGGCCTTGGAGACTTACCAGGTAGTATTGCAGGGGGTTTGGCCAGATGTCGTCCTTGATGACCTCTCCCAGCTCATCCGCCCCAGCATCTGAGTGATCAGTGAACCAGGTGAAGAAGCTCTCGGGCTCTTCATGCTGCCTCTTCTTGCCAGCTTTATTCTGTGTCTGGCTGGAGCGCTTTGTCAGGTCCTTCAGAGACAACATCACAGGGATTAGTCGCTCTGGATAAGAGCGTCTGCTAAATGACTAAAATGTAAAACAAACCAGCTTGTGTGTTTGTATTAGTTTTATTGCATAGCAAAATACCCTTACCACAACTACCAGGCATGAAAACCAAAATGATCTATGAACACTGAGGTACAGACAACATTCAGGTTAGGGCTGGGAATTGCCAGGGACCTCACGATACGATATGTATTGCGATTCGATACTGCGATATTATTGAGATTTGATGTTCAAAGCATATTGCTCACTATATGTCTGCTGAAGAGGGAGCATGAGAAAGCGAGTTTTGATCAGTCAGGGTAATAAATGCCGAAAACATGTTGGCTCACTATTTTAAAATATGGAGAACAAGCTATATGATTAAAAATACTATACTTTTTAAAGTGCCCTACTCTTTTCTGCCAAATGATGTGCTTTTAAAGCAGCAATGTAACTTTTTCGGCGACCAGACCAATTTCATAGAAGTTAGAGTTATAGATCTGTCGTTCTCATTGAAAGCTAGTATTAGAAGCAGTAGATATGTTCTGTGTGCACCATTTCTATGCTTCCCGTTCTTAAGTTTAGTTTTTGCATCTTACTTTTCTTCGTTTTGTACACCAGCTGAAATTACAATGTTGGGTTATTGAAAATACATATTTCACAGCAGTTTAGATGGTACAATGATTGGTACACATTGCTTGTTTTGTCAAACTGAAATTATGCGAACTATTAGAATTGTATCAACCAGGAAATAGCAGAGCAATTTCTGCATATTGCACCTTTACAGAATTTCCAATATTTCCATGCATGTGAAAAGAGGTGATGTGAAATACCTTTCCTGATTTCCATTTGATTTCTGTTGACTTTGATGATGGGTCTCCACTCTCGTTCAGATGGAACTCTTTAGAAAGGACTTTGTTTTCAAAGTATGGATTTTCATCAAAATACTGGAACACAAAATAAGTCAATTTATTTAAGTCAATAAATATATGACATATTGCTGCCAATAATGCAATATCCTATGAATGCAATATGATGGTAACCTTCATCACTTACAAAATCTATTCTGTAGCCTGACTTGATATCTTCAAACTCTGTAACCTCCACCCTGGTCAGATAGTGAAGTGCCTCCTCATCTTCCTCACCAAGAAGGGCTGAAACTGTAGGGGAAAATGTTTTAAACATATTCAGAACATCTGAGCATTCTAGGTTCCAGTGGTAAAAAACTGAGAGCCTACTAAAGAAACTCACCTTGCGGATGGTTGACGAATGTTGTGACCCAGAAGTTTGGGATTTTGGCAATCAGTTCTGACCTCTTCTGAAAGAATGGCTGACGGAGTTTGTTGTATTTCTGTTCTACCTTCAATATCTCCTCACTCGCCTGCTCATTCAGTCTGTGGAGAAGAGATTGTACATGCATATCAGGGTTTTTCCTGGATCAAAAGGGGGCTTAGGTGGTGGGCGTCTGTTTTTCCGAACGTTGTGTATATATATTTTTTGCATTTTACGTCAATTTCCTTAAATTCTCCATGGAGCAGAGAAATGTTTGCCGTTTTAAAGTGAATTTCTACACTGTGCCATGGAGCTGAGTGAAAATGGTGCAGTTTTAAAGCTAATGTCAAGGGAATTGTACATGTTCTGGCATGTAGCTGAGAGAACACTCATTTTAAAGATAATTTCCTGCAATTCTATGCATTTTGCCATGGCTAAAGTTATTTTGCTCAAACTTAACAAAATCAATTATATGTCCATTCTCTTTTCTACATACTTCATATTTGGTTTTAGTCGTTTAAGTTTACACTGAAATCGTTTTTCCCTTCCCTAAAATGTATTTGCGTGTTTTTTTACCAAAGGTTTTTAAGGTAGAAATACCCCTGCATATCAATCACATTGTCACACGGTTAAACAAACACATATGTTTGTTTTAATGTTTATACATATACACTTGAGTGGATTACCTGTCAATTTCGTTTTGAACTTCATCGATGTGTTCAATAGCTTCCTGTTGCTCTTTTTCTGTAATGACAAATGCAATAATGTCAGAAAATATTATAGTGACTCTCGGTGCAGTGGTGATAGACATCAACATTAAACAGTAACTACCAAGTTCCTGCACATTTACCAGCCAATAGTCAAAGATGTAGCTATATCCAAAGTTAAGAGCTAATGCTTTTGTTTTGAAATTGACCATGAACTCCATGCTTCACTCAGGTCCATGATGGAAAAGCTTTGTAGGAGTGAGCTGGTAACGATTGCAGTCTGAATAAAGGGGTGCAAAATGGGCGAAAATATTATAAATTTTAACAAATGATTTTTGCCATGCATGACTGAAATGTGTGCGCGTAGTGTTAGCAACACCTCTGCAACTAGCGATTTCAGAGCAGCTTGTACACTGCGGTTCTTCCTGCTGGCTACAGCGAGGAGGGCCGCGTGGTTTAAAAGTGGGAGTCCGCACACTACACTCTGTGCCTCCTTTCCCAACACTGATTTACAGCTGGCTAACTAGCTGCATTGCATCGAGACTATGCCCAAGTTATTTGTTTATAACTAACCCTGCATTGTTGAGTCAACGCATATAATGCTTCCAATGGCCTACTTCCCGAAAACGACGGCTCACTAACTATAAGTTAAGCTAGTTAGCTATGTTGCCAATTTCACATTCGCTGGCTAGCTTCATGGCGGATTTGCACAACAACAAAGTAACAAGGCCACGGTGGTTTCATTCAACATAGAAAACGTTACTTCTCAATGAACTAAGAAAAAATGCACTGTCTATTATAAAAATTGTTTTACAATTGCATTTACAGTACCAAGGACTAAACTAGCTAAACAAAATACTTAACAGGACATCCATTGATTAGACAATTAGCTAACTAACGTTAGCTAGCTATGAAATGCTGCTAACGTTAGTTAGCTAACATGGCCTCCATCACCGGTCTAACGTAGTAGAACCTAGAACTACGCACTCACGGCAGACAATACAGACTGCACCCAGAACCGGGCAGACTCATATGGAAAAGCAGAAGGACAACAAATTACTGGCTGTGAACTAATTTGCTTTCAAGTAGTACATTTCAGTATAACTAAAAGTGAAAATGGCGGTTAACTGGAGGCCGCCATTCCTTACCAGAGGTCTCGTCCGCGCCGTCATAGTTTGAGTTCAGCTCCTTTTTACTCACTTTTGCCGCCGATGCCGACATGTTTTTCGAAGGCTGTGAATAACAGACTTCGGAAAAGAACACTGAATTCGTTTTTTTCTGTTCTCTCCGAACAGGAGACTAGTATTTCTACCTACGATTTCGGTGTACCGTTACAACGTGTGCAGCGCTCCTCCACACAATAAAAAGCGAGGAAGTCAGACACACCACCACCAAGCTCAAGGCAAGCCCACTCACGCGCTCCCTTTCATTACGAACGCGCCTCAGCAAATGGAACCAACAGGGCTCCGCCTCTCGAGGACAAGTCTACTTGCTCGATTCTAGTGTTGCTTTCTGATAGGCGAGGTCGCACATAGGGGCTGGTATATGCTGAGGGGATTCGATTAATCTGGCCCGGGCAAGCGTGTTTTGCACCGGGTGAAAGTTGATTGCATTCGTTTTGGAACCAGGCTGCCTCCCGGGCGTGAGTCAGGTATCCAGTTCAAAGCCAAGGGCGAAGTCGGCTCAAAACAAAATGACGTAATAAGTAGGATTCTGTTTTCATATGCAAAAATCATTGCTTTTGATAAAAACGCATTATCTACCTTCCCAATGAAAACTAGTTTGAAAATACAGACATATTTAATGAAAACTCCATGCATGTTTCTGGACGATGCAACATACTGCCTTGTTGACAACATAACCGAGCGGCGCAGATTACTTGTTCGATTTGAGAAGGCCGCTCCTCCCTCACCGTTTTGCCCGTTCCTACCACGGGCCATAGACCGGTGCCCCGCGGCTCAGCATAATCGAATCCGCCCACTAACTAAAAAAAGGCGGGATTTTGTTGAAAAACATCAACATCTTTGTAACATTTTGTATGTATTTACATAATCGTGTTTAAATGATCACAGCTAACAATTTCTTCTCTTTTTTTCTAGTTATTTACTTGCTGTATAGCATTTGACCTCTCAACCCTACCTTGCTACAAAGGGAATGTAGGCTACTAGTAATTGCAGGAAAAATATTTTTGTTATTTTCAGTTTGCTGACACATACATACACACACACATATATATATATATATATATATATATATATATATATATATATATATATATATATATATATATATATATACACACACACATACATACATACATACATACACACACACATATATATATACACACACATACATATATATATATATCACTCAGCTTTGATTATCCAATTAACTGTCCATTTACATTTTACATTTTAGTCATTTAGCAGACGCTCTTATCCAGAGCGACTTACAGTTAGTGAGTGCATACATTTTCATACTGGCCCCCCGTGGGAAACGAACCAACAACCCTGGCGTTGCAAGCGCCATGCTCTACCAACTGAGTTTGTATTTATCCATACAAGATGTGGTCTGAAAATAATAAGCATCAATACTAAGATAAGACACATTCATTTAGCAATAACAAACAAGATATACAGCTCTCATCTGTTATAATAATCCAATGACTGAAACGAAAATACAAGTAGCTAGCAACATCAGACTAACCAGCTAACAATGACAGGCGAAAATGTAGCTAACAATGTTAGATAGCTAGCATAAAAACGAGATACATAATGCTGTAATAATGACGAAAATATTCTTAAACTATTGACAACTTCGTCAGTAAAACAGGGGGGAAACATATACCTTACTTACAGTTTGGTATTCACGCACAGTGATTAATAAATTGGTCAGAAAGGAAATAATGTCCAAAACGGAGATTTGTGTTTACAGCAGTAGGTGGCGAGCTGCACTTCGTAATGAATTAAACACTCAGCCAGTTTGCGATAGCTGTGACGTCATCACCGAGTTCTTAAAGTGACAGGCTTTCTTACACAGCCGCCCCGAATGTCTGCTACGACATTCTAACCAGATGGGAAGTCTGTTCTTGGTGACAGGTTCTTCTGCATCATCATCAAGGATGGCTGGGAACTGCACCAGGTGGGTCACTGGTCGTAGGTAAGTCCGACCCTTGACCTGGATAGCAGCAGTCCTAATATGTCCATCAGCTCCGGGGTAAGTATGAGTCACCTTCCCAACAGCCCAGAGAGCTCGAGGGAGATGAGGGTCCACGATGAGAACCACTTGATCCACAGTAAGTTCCCTTCCATCCTTCCTCCACTTCGGTCTTTCCTGTAGACTTGGCAAGTAATAGCGAACGAACTGGGACCAAAAGTGATCAGCAAGGACTTGGCTATGCCTCCAGCGGCGTTTCCCTAGGATGTTACTGGAGTCATACAAAACCTGAGGAAGAGACGCATCGTAGCGTCCCATGAGTAGGAGGCTCGGTGTGACGGGATCTGGGTTGGCGACATCGGCAATGTACCCGAGGGGTTTCACATTCAAGATTCCCTCCACTTCGGTAAGCACAGTGTGGGGCACGATTTCAGTGACGGTCTGTTCCTTGAGTATGACCTTGAGAGCAGGTTTCACTGATTTCACCTCTTTCCCACATTCCACCAAAGCACTTGGTGGTTTGAACCGGAATGATATCCTCTGTTCGGCCAACTGTTCCTTCAGGTGGGGGGCCATCGCTTTGAAGGCCTCTCGCAGTTCTAAGTCTCCCCCAACAAAGTTTGTACCATTGTCCGAAAGAAGCTCGAAAGGCTTGCCTCGACGTGCAATGAAGCGTCTTAGAGACATCAGGAAGGCATCGGCATCCAGGCTCTCCAGGAGGTCCAGGTAGGTGCAGCGGCTGGTCATGCATTTGTAGACGATGCCCCATCAGTTTTCGTTGTGACGTCCGATTTTTATGTTGAATGGTCCAAAACAATCCACTCTGGTAGAGGAGAAGGGTGGCTTGTACAGTCACAGACGAGCAGGAGATAGGTCCCCATTTGTATTTGTATTTATTATGGATCCCCATTAGCTGCTGCCGAGGCAGCATCTACTCTTCGTGGGGTCCGGCAAAATTAAGGCAGTTATACAATTTAAAAAACATTACAATACATTCATTACATAATTCACAACACACTAAGTGGAACTTCAGGTTTGGCACACCATCTTTGGCATTACAAACAGGTGTGCTGAAACTTCTGGATGGCTTCCCTTCCCTGCAGAATGCAGTATCTACGACGCAGTTCCGCCAGAACCCTGTCTGGGCCGGGATGGAGGAGAGTCTCGTCGAAATCTTGAACGAGTAGCTTGGTCAGCGGATGATGCGGATCCAAGACGATGGGGTGCATAGCATCCATCTCCAGGTGCTGTGCTCTTCACAGTCTACCGCCAACTCTAAGGAGTCATGAATCCTTATCATATTCAGGAGACAAGGGACCCAGACGATTGTTAAAAGGTATAGACAGGTTGACATGACGGCCTTGACCTCTTCAGGAAACGATTCCATCTGAGCTTGCTTCAGGAGGAGGTTCTCTGCAGCTATGTAGTCTGCTGCTTCGCTGGGTGAACTGGAGAGTGGATCGGCCGCGCCCTGTAGGGATCTAGTTGTTGCCTTCATGAGGTCTTTCCATGTATCAAACTTGCTGATATCTGGGAGCTGAGGACTGGAACTGACAGACATGTCCGCAGAAGGCTGATTTCTTCAGTTCGCTGTCATCAGGCAACAGGCATTGAAGGCTACTGATCTTCTGAGTGTTGGAGGAACTCAGGGCCTTGGTGCCATCGATGTGGTTGGGCCAGGTCTTACAAGGTCTTGCCCCGAGTAATGTCATCAGGCGGGTTGTTCGCGGTGGCCATATACCTCCAGTTGGCTACATCCATAAGGTTCTGAATCTCTGCAACACGAGTTCCTACGAAGACCTTGTATCTACAAGATTCTGGCTTGAGCCAATGAAGGACTGTGGTGGGATCGGACCAGAGGAAGACTTGTCCGATAGGCAGGGTGAGTTCTGCTTGGAGGACACTGGCCAGCTGAGCCCCAGTGAGTGCAGCATTCAGCTCCAAGCGTGGCATTGACAGCTGCTTCTTTGGTGCAACGTGAGACCTGCCGAGAACGAAGGAAATGTGTACCTGCTTCTGGTCATCCACAGTCCGCATGTAGGCAACAGAGCCTCTCTCTGACGCATCACAGAATATGTGGAGGTCTCTGGTCGACTTTGGATTGTCAGCATATGGTGGTGCGTAAGTTCTGGGGAGTTCCATCTGGACAAGGTCAGGAATCTCTTGTTCCCAGCCATCTGTCCAGCAGGCTCTGAGGCTGAATGGGGTCGTCCCAACCTTGCCCTTCTTTCCATAGGTCCTGGACGAGTACCTTGGCTCGGGTTGTGAAAGGCACGATGCCTAGTGGGTCGTATTGACGGGCGAGCATGCTGTAGATATTCCTCATTATAGGTTTGGAGCGCTCCACAGTGCAGTGCTTGTATCCCAAGGAGTCTCTGAGGCAGGGTTGGTTCCTGGAGATCCGTGCTACTTTGGGAAAGCCACAGTTCGTTGCTTTCTGATCTGGCCTCGGTGGTAGGTGCTCGATGACAGCTGGTACATTGCTATCCCACTGGCGTATCTCAAAGCCTCCAGTATGGAGCAACTGCAGCAGTCCATTAACAAGGTTTCTTGCTTCATTGGCAGAGGGGATGCTTCGAAGGCAGTTGTCCATGTAGAATGACTCCTCAACAGACTTCACAAGCTCTTGGTTGACTCCTACATTGTCCTGAACGTGTCGCTGCAGAGCGTACATGGCGCAACAGGGACTATGGGAATGGAGAGAAACCAGGCTTAAACATTTTGTTTTTTGATATTGACCTTATATAAAGAAAGATAATTAGATAAGTACTGATATACAGTGGGGAAAAAATTATTTAGTCAGCCACCAATTGTGCAAGTTCTCCCACTTAAAAAGATGAGAGAGGCCTGTAATTTTCATCATAGGTACACGTCAACTATGACAGACAAATTGAGGGGAAAAAAATCCAGAAAATCACATTGTAGGATTTTTAATGAATTTATTTGCAAATTATGGTGGGAAATAAGTATTTGGTCACCTACAAACAAGCAAGATTTCTGGCTCTCACAGACCTGTAACTTCTTCTTTAAGAGGCTCCTCTGTCCTCCACTCGTTACCTGTA